GCTCAATTCATTGTCATTTAGGAGTTAAATCACTTTGTTTCGAACAGAACGGAGCGGTCGCACCTAAGCCGAGCTCTGCAATACTAGGCCTCTTTTTTGGTGCTATAAACAAATTACCCCAAACAAATCGGTGCCAACTGGACACTAAACCAGCAGACACCGTAATGGGCCGAAAAACAAAAAAACAGAAGGCGGACAAGCCTAGAATGGGCATGAACATTGGGGACCTGTGGCGGCAAGCACATGAGACCTCACAACCTAAGATGGCGTCCTACCTCGAAGAAAGCTCAGACTTCTCGGACGACCAAACTCCGGAGATGGCGGAGTTCCTCATACCAGCACCACAGGTGCCAAGACAGACGCCAGCACCAACATCGCCAAAGAGGGACTCGCAGCCTGTGACCAAGGCTGATATGCAAGACCTTCTAGCAGACCTCCGGCGGGACATCCACGCGGATGTTACAGCACTCCGCAACGACCTCAAAGGCCTGACAGGCCGCATGGGGGCCCTGGAGACTGAATCCCGCAGCACCAAACGAGAGGTTATGCACCTGCAACAAGAAATGCAGACCCTCAGAAATCAACAGACCACCCTTGAACAGAAACTCACAATAATGGAAGACTCCAGACGCCTCAAAAATCTCAAGGTTAGAGGGGTGGCGGAGGCAATCCCTGACGCCGAATTACCGCACTTTATTAGACGCCTCCTGGGCACGATCCTGCCTCCCAGACAGGCGAAAGCGATAATGATAGAAAGCACGTTCCGGATCCCCAGACCCGCCAAAGCCCCGGCCACTGCTCCCAGGGACCTGATTGTGCGTTTCCAGGCCAGGCAGGACAAGGCTGCAGTGATGGGCGCCCTCCGGGGACAATCCCCATACAACTTTGAGAACTCTTCGCTTACCTTCTTTGCCGACCTCACAGGGAGCACACTAGCATGGCGAAAGTCCCTGCAGCCCTTCACGACACTGCTCCGGACGCACAACATCCCCTACAGATGGAAGACAACACACACGCTGGCAATCTCCCACGGCGGAACCATTTACCCAGTTCACGATTTGGAAGGAGCAACAGCGATCCTGGAGAGCCTGGGCCTGCCACCGAACTCATTAACCAACACCTCAAAAGCAACGGTGACCACATCGCAAGGCTGGGACCCGGCGAACACGGCCCCCTTCATACCCAGGAGGCCACCTGCGGACATCCATGCAGAAGCCAAGACCTGATCTCTCCCAGTCAGCCACACCACATCCTGGCAGATAAGACTTTGCGCATAGAGGACTAACATCTATAATCTTGCTTTCTAATTAAGTTTATCACTGCTTTAACCATGCCCTGTACTGCTCTTCCCTTAGTTCTGCTATATTTGCATTGTTCGTTTTTATATCCACTAGGGCCCCGCACATGTTCCCGGTGAACGGTAACATAACCAGGGGGTACGGTCCATATACGTCCCCCCTTTCCCCCCAATAAGCTCCCCAGCCACCGCGCCAACACCATTAGAAGCTACTTGGATCCCCCCCACTCAACCCGGATCACATAGGCCACCCTGACAACCCCGCATAAACCTCCCCAGGGCCTTATCTGGAGACTTTCCATACCACAAAGTCTTACATATATAGCACTCATGACTCCTACATAAGATAGTGCGCCCAGTATGGCGTACATGCCCTTACTATACAGACAAGGGGTAAACTTTGACTAAATGCCGCCGTTGTGGCACAGTGAGAGGGCTCATGACTAGCATTTACCCCTCTAATCTGTGGCATAGCGATTTGTCATATCCTTTTAAAGTGCTGTGCTCCTAGACAGCCTGCTACTGGCCACCTCCATGCCAACTAGTTTATGTGGCTGACGACCTGCTACTTGTATTATGTATTCTCTTATGAGCATATCTAGCCTAACATAGCCATTACCAACGATAATCTATTAAGGTCTCATAACTCATTCACTACATGCCTTGGTACGCTTATTACTTATTACAATTTACTGAAGTATCATAAATTGATAACCTCATGTTCCAGCATATTGTTACTCGCTACGGATGTCATATAGCTTGTTAATCTCACATTATATATATAAAACTGTGCTGTCTGATCTGCCACAATTTGAAATGCTAATGCTATGCTTGCACCGGCTGTTGTGGCCCTGCACGTTTATTGTTATTCCAAGCACAAATAAAATAAAGAATTAAAAAAAAAATAAAAAAAAAATCACTTTTTTTCTGTTTATGCAGCCCTAGACACACCTCCCCTGGCTATGATTGACAGAGCCTGCATGAAAAAAAAACCTGGTTTCACTTTCAAACAGATGTAATTTACCTTAAATAATTGTATCTCAATCTCTAAATTGAACTTTAATCTTATAGGAGGCTCTTGCAGGGTCTAGCAAGTTATTAACATAGCAGGGGATAAGAAAATCTTAATTAAACAGAACTTAATAGGGCTCTCTTTACAGGAAGTGTTTATGGAAGGCTGTGCAAGTCACATGCAGGGAGGTGTGACTAGGGTTCATAAACAAAGGGATTTAACTCCTGAATGGCAGAGGATTGAGCAGTGAGGCTGCAGGGGCATGTTCTATACACCAAAACTGCTTCATTAAGCTAAAGTTGTTCAGGTGACTATAGTGTCCCTTTAAGCTGCAGATTCCCTTCCAAGAACGAGACAAGGCTACGTTTTGAAGGGTCAAGAACTGAATTTTAATGGCAGATGCTCTCCTTTTATGCAATGCTTCCCATGCAAGGGAGACACCCACACAATTATTACAGTAACCAATAAAACACAAGGTACAACCCACACATCTCCTCCCCTTAGATTTAACATAATTAACAAGCATAAATTTTTCCCCGAGTTTAGGGTGTAGCCCAAATATCTGGGGTACATTCATAAATCCCCTGATAGCCCTAATCTGGGGGAGCAACATATTTAAAAATCACCCAGGGGTTCGGGAGTTATGGAACTTTAAAGTTTTGACCGACCGCACAGGCAACAACAGCCGAAAACAGTTCCATAAATTTTGGCCTTGCGGTCGGTCTCTGTTCGTGGATTAAAAGTCCCGAAATGCTTGTCATCCGTGAGAATAGAATCCCCATGTTTAACTTAGTCTGGTGTTTGTTAGAATCCCCATGTTTAACTTAGTCTGTCTACCGAACGGTGGGACGTTCGTTAGTTTCGGCACGAATTTAGGGAAGTCTGGAGGTCTCAGCAGTGTTTGCCTAGTCGAGTGTCCGATTTTAGTTCCAGACACTCGACGGCAAAACACCGCTGTTCGGGAGTTTAAGATGGCTGGTGCCACATGTAAAACTCCCGAATTGGCGGCCACCCAGGGACTTAAACAAAGCGTGCGTGGGTTTTCAATATGAATGTATTAGCCAAACAGGGAGGTAAATTGAAGCACAATTAGGTATCAGGGTGGTCCGGTGTTCGGTAGTTTTCATTCGTACGATGAATGCACGGTCAATATAGCTTAGGTGAAAACAATTAAACGAATGCTTTAATCTACCGAAAGTCTTTAGAGAAAATCCACAGCAGGAAAGCAGGTAAAACATACAATTTTCAGATAGCTTGATGTCCTTTGCTGAATAAGAGGTGTATATATATATATATAATCCGTGGTCTCTGTTACTTTATATGTCCCCGGCTAGTTCTTAAAGGGCCAGTGATGCCATATACAAACAGTCTTTGTATTTATATGCAGGATAAAGTGAGGAAGGCCAAGAAAATGGTGGATGTTCCTAGGCACATTGTATGGATTTGTTATAGATGGCTACTATTAATGTGTAAAGGTAGAGGGTAATCGAATGAGATCTCAAGCAGCTGGTGGAGCATTCTATAATTTTAGATAAAAAACCTGGATGCTCTGACACAGTTGTCTAGCCATCACTATTTGGCCCTTGTCAAAGATACTCAGATCTTTTAGCCTTTCCGTTTTTCCTGCATCCAACACATGAAATTAAAGAACTGACTGTTCACGTCCTGCCTAATATATCCCACCGCTTGACAGGTGCAATTGTAATGATATATTCAATGTTATTCACTTCACCTGTCAGTGGTTATAACGTGGTGGCTAATATATATATTTATATATATATATAATATATATATACTTATATATTTATATATTAATATATTGTGTGATCTGCTTATATTCCACTTGCATGAATTCACAAATCACTTGAATCTTGTTTCTGGAGGGCATTACTGGTCCTACATTGTTTCTGCAACACTGTTAATATGCAACATTCTTTGTTAGAAAAATATTTCTACAGCTGTGTATTGATTGTTCTGCAACCAAGGACTTCCTGGAAGGGTCAGCAAATGCAATAGGATGGCGGAACATTTTCTTTTGAAGTCTTTTTTTTTATTTTGTAGAGCGTTTAAGAGAGAGATTTATAGCACTGTATATCAGTAATGCTAATGCCTAGATAATTCTGGTTTAGTTTATTAAAAGGGACACTGTAAGCAGTATAACCATTTCTTCTCATTGAATTGGTTATAGTGACTGCAGACCCCAGTCACTGTTCCATTAATTTAGTATTAAACTATTTTCAGTCCCTGACCACCCACAGCATGACCCCTACTGGAGGCATGGCTAAGGCAGAGATTACACACTTCCTTCTACCAATTCATACCAGCAAAAGGTGCTGTGATAGTCTGAACGCGGTCATCAGATGCTCACAGCCAATTACAGCCACCCACTGCTTTAGGCTAATTGATTCTCATTACCAGCACAGAGTGGGTGGACTGCTGGGGGCTCTCGTTTCGTATTAAACCATCAAAAAATTTTAATGCTTAATGAAAGGACAGCGATACAGTGCCTATAGTATATCTTCAACAGTGTACGCATGTCTTTGCTCTCTATGTAATGGTTATATATATATAAATAAACTTTACATATGCCACATGTAAAAGGCTTTGAGAGTAGTGATGTCCCGAACGGTTCGCCGCGGACTCATCATTGAGTAAACTTTGACCCTGTAACTCACAGTCAGCAGACACATTCCAGCCAATCAGCAGCAGACCCTCCCTCCCAGACCCTCCCACCTCCTGGACAGCTCACTAAGAATGCAGCTTCAAAATGGATGCTGTCCAGGAGGAGGGAGGGTCTGGGAGGGAGGGTCTGCTGCTGTGCCAGGCTTATGCAATGTATGGTCATATGCTATGTAGCTGAATCCCCATTGGTTTGGGCCTTGGTCAGTTCTTTTATTTTGTGGTCATTTAAAATCATTTAGAAGTGGAACAAACACACAGAAATATACATATATTTATTGTGCCAAATAATTTGTGGTGACTTCGCACACGATAAAACTCACTACAATGCAGAGAGACAATTTACAGTTGGGTAACATTTGCTCTTTTAAAACCAATACATGAATTATGATCGAAAAGGACCAGTTACCTGAAATTAGCCACGGACTGTACAGTTTCTAAAAACTGTGTTTAAAACAACATTCATTGCCAAGGAGACTTGCAGAAATGGAAGGTGAATTTGAATCATGATGCCTGCCCATGTTCATTTGCATGTCAAGCTAAGAATTCTGGGATAGTTGTAGAAATATGAGTTCTAAAAGTTTCTTTGCCCAAAGGGAACTTGCTAAAGTGCTACCTGAGATATGCAGGCAATGCACAAAAGTAAAGCGTGTGTGTAAACACACACAAAACAAGTGAATTATGGAAGAGCGTTTTTTCTAGCAATTCAATACAAATTAAAGAAATTTAGGATAGATTTATTTAGAAGAGAAGAAGTGACAAGGAGAAAAAAAAAACAAGAAATGGCAGGGACTGGTATTGTAACAATCTCTCTGATAGGCATGGAGAGTGGAATTCAGAAGATCTGATAGCTTTAACCGCATTTACTTTCAGTATAATAATTTGTTATATGATCATATCCGACTGCACTGCTACATTTTTGCAAAGTGTCTCCAAGTTGAGCAACACTATCTTTGAATTTAGTTTTCTTTAGATGGTGCATTAACTTTAATTCCTAATGTTAATGCTCCCTCTAGTGAAACACTTGTCAAATTGCAATTTCTTGTTAAAAAGAAATTTCTTTCATATTATAAATAATACATACTGTTTGTTTGTACCCACTACGAGTATCCTGGGCCTACCTTTACAAACAATTAAGCTATTCAAGGGTAAATGCCATTGAAAAGGTAGCTTGAAGGTAATTCTGGTGTCTGCTACCACTTATCTAATGCCACCACTTCTCCCAGGAATTGTGAGTAATGGTATGGCTTGGGAGTTTGTATAGTTACTATGCTCATGTCCAAGAATCCCCCCCCAAAACTCCTTCATAAAAAAAAAAATATATATATCAAATGATCATAGCTCATTCCCAAATATCTCTTTTAGTAGTTGTGAGTGAGGTTTATTAGTAAGTGTGAAACGTGTCCACAACCTTTTACTCTGGGAAAAAAAGAAAAGGGTTTAGCAAATCTATTATCTTATTTTTTTGTAGGTGTAACTATATTTTTGTGTTTTATTTGAAGAAATTTTCAAGAAATACATATTGGGACTTGCATGTACCTATTAGCCTGAGATTGTCAAGGAGACACGCAGGTCTCGACAGAAGTATAACGTAGTACATCCTAACAATAAAAATAAACAAGACTGTCAGCATGTCCATTCATCATTAGCCCGTGCATTTACCGTGCCCTCTTTCCCCCATGGGTATGTGTCCTGGGTGTAAACCGGGCAGTGTGCTCCAAGCCCTCTTTTAGCCTAGGTGCTTATCAGCAAATGTCCCTGTGTCTGTGGGGATCGATTGAGCAGCAGGCAATGACTGTTTGGTGCACAAGCTTGTGTGCTGACCAACCCCATAACTGGGTAGGTCTGGGTGGGGTGGAATGTAACGCTGCAAGAGAAGTGGGAAAAGAGTGGTGATAGCTTGGGAACAGAAGAAAGGAAAGTGGAGGAAATTGTAGGCAAAGATTTAATAGACGCCTGCCCCTGTGTCACACCTGGCTCCTTTATGTATTGATCATGAAATTCGGGGGACAGAGCCGCAGCTAGCCATGGTGCTCAAATGTCTGTGTATGCCTGTTTCCTATCCTGTGCGGTGTACCAGAGCGCCTCAAGAGGCCTCAGTTGCTCCATCCTTGTGAACCAAAGTGCCAGTGGCAGCATTGCATCCTGCTTCCAGCGCAGAGGTATCAGTTGTTTGGCAACATTTAGAATACGAATGGTCAGGGAGCATTTATATTGGCATGTGGGTGTGGCTGTCTGGTGAAGTAGATAGGCGGCAGGGAGGAAAGGTGGTTTGTCAGTGAATTTGCTTACAATGGAAGCAACGCATTTACAAAACTGTTCTATGATCGGGCACTCCCACCAAATGTGAAGGACGTAGCCCAGCGACACTTTGCATCTATAGCACTTGCCATCTCAGTCAGGGTGCATGCTCTGGAGACACTCCAGTATCATATACCACCATGAGAGAATTTTGTATGCTGTTTCTTCGGTCTTAATGGCTATTGCACAGTGGTGCACCAGATCACACATTTTGTGCAACTGGGCTTCCATGTATGGCTCTCCTAAGGCTTGATCACATTTAGAGAAAAAAAAAAAGGAGGAAGGGAGTGCCAGATCCTGGCACAATAATTCAAATGGTGTAAGGTCCCTGTATAGATTGGGTTGTTGGGGGATTCTGGTTATATAATCCTGTATTTGGGCTACCGGAATTGCACCAGGAAAGTGGTATCTGGTCTGTAAGTTTGGCAAGAGGCATTAATGTACTGTCCTCTGTCACGTGATGGATCCATGGTATCCTCTGTGAGAATATGCCAGTCAGTCCCCTCCTGCCCTTGCCGGGGGTAAAGTCCAGATTGTGGGTTAGAGGAAAAACCCACCTCTGAGCCCCGTGAGTATCAAATTGTCATTGTGGCCTTGATGAAGGGTTGAGATGAAGATAGTGGCTGGCCCACCTGAGGGTTCAGCCACATGAGTGCTAACATTGGCCGTCCTATCTGGTGTGCCTCTATATCTTTACATGTTTTATGTACCTAAGCTTTCGGCTACTTCATCACTCAGAACAGGTGACATGCCTGATGATACAACTTGAAGGCAGGTACTGTCAGTCCACCTCTGGCCTTAGGGAGTGTCATTTAGAAGGACATGTGTCTGGGCCTGTTGCCCTTCCATATGAAACGCACTAGGAGGGTGCATAGGAATGTGAAAAAAGCCAGACAAAAATTGGGATTGTTTGAAGAAGGATTTTCTTATTTTTTTATTCAAATTAATTTTTCTGGATTTATTTATTTTTTCTAATATTAATATAGTGGTATAAATTTATGTAAGGATTAAAAAGATAACCCCAATTATATAGTACGTGTTTCTGTACCAAATGAAGAAGAGGAAAATTACTGATAAACAAAAGACATAACAAAAATTGTAAAATTGCAGGTACACAATCCCTTTGCCATAAAGGGGTTAAAGAACGGCTTTTTCCCATTCAACTTTAGTATGATTTTATCACATTTTGGTCTTAATCTAAGATTTTTTGATAAGTTTTTCAAGATCTAGATACAGAGCCAAAAAATTAGCACTTTGGACTTTAAGTCCTCTCATAAAAAATTTAAAGGGAGTCTTTAGTGCCAGGAAAACAAACCCAATTTCCTGGCACTATAGGCTCCTGCAGTGCCCCCCTCCCTTGCACCCCATCTCCCACGTGGTTGAAGATGTTGAAACCCCTTCAGTCACTTACCTGAATCCAGCGCTGATGTAATGGCCACGCTCACATTGGGATTTCCCTATAGGAATGCATTATTCAATGCTTTCCTATTGGTAAAATCTGATGTTGGAGATCCTAATGCAGAGTGTGAGGATGTCCAGTGTCAGATAAAGGACCAAAGGCTTGTTTCGATTCCGGAAGTCCCTCTAGTGGCTATCTGGTAGATAGCCACTAAAGGTGGAGTTAACCCTCAGAGGTTATTATTGCAGTTTCTGAGAAACTGCAATAATTACCACTGTAGGGTTAATGTGCATGGGACATTGCACCCAGACTCCTTCAATGAGCTGAAGTGGTGTGGGTGCCTACAGCATCCCTTTAAAAATAAAGACTTCTCTTTGGCTTCCCTGTTTATTGCAGCCTATCGCACAACTACGGCTTCACAAGACAACACTCCTGCGGGTCCATGTGGCCTTCACAGGAACAGGATGACACAACCTGAGATATTTTGTTCTCATGCTCAGAAGCTACAACCCACGGTCTTTACTAGATGGGAATGGATTGTTCTTACCTAGGCCAGGATATTGAGAGTAGTGCTGCAGAGTTGAAAGCAGATCAGGATTGGAGAGTAGAGGTTGTGATGGTGGTGATTTGCAGCCATGGACTGCACAAATGATATCCCAGCACACCTGGCTGAGTTATTAGAGGACCTGTCCACCGAATCCACTTTTCAAGGTAGACTTCAGTATATTTTTCTCCCTTTTAACATTGCAAAAATACAGATCTACTACCCTCTCATCATATTAAATTTGCATGGGACTTCCCGTTTAAGCTTTTAGCTTTTCAAAATGGCAAGACAGTAGCTTTACTTTCAAATGGGTACTCTACACAATGTGTGAGCTGCTTTAGAATCACATTCGCAAGACAGTAGCTTTACTTCCAAATGGCTGTTCTGGACGAATTGTGAGTTCCCTCAGAATCACGTTCGCAGAGAACTTTGTTTATCCTGCTCAGGCCTGCCAGCCCTACAGCATCTCCTGCAGGAGTGGATCACTGTAGAAGAGTACCCCACACATTCTCGTCCTTCCAAAAAGCCCAGATTTGGGATATTATATTGGAGAAGACTACTTATGGCCTACCGGCCTTCTTTATTCCAGTACCCCTGTTGGTTTCTTTTGGATCCCTAGTTCTGTTTGTTACTTTTGTTCAACTCTATTTTTTGGAGGGCTTGTGTTTTTGCTGTCAGATTGTACCTGTTGGCCACTGTAAGTCTTGCTTTTGCTACTACATATAAGATATTAGACTTGGAGGTTTATTTGAGTCCAAACTGCAATTCATTGGAATTTGGTCCAATCAGATGATTTGTCAAATTCCCGAACTCTGAGTCAAAATTTACCCGAATCATGAAACCCCTATTTAGTTCTTGAAGGCATTATTCAGACTTGAATCTATGTACTGTCGGTCATTCCAA